AAAAAAAAAAACTTGAAGAACAAAAAGCTACCAAAAATGGCGAGAGGCGGCGCACCAAACCACGACCCACAACACCCTACTATAGAGGAGATGATGGCATTGATCAACGACTTAAGAGAGGAGAATGCGCGATCCAGGGAAAGGGAGGAGGCCCTTCAACAGGAGAACGAGGAAATCAAACAACGAGCCGATAAGATGCAAGCCATGATGGAAGCTAATATCAGAACAACGGAGGAAGACGTGATGACGCAAGTCCCAAGGGACTTTAGACCTTTCTCAGAGGTTATAGAGGCCGAAATCATTCCGAGAGACCACCGAGTCCCCCAGGTGGAACCTTTTGACGGGACACAGGATCCTATTCAACACCTAACGGATTTTCGCGCTCAGATGTTGATATGTGGGGGGAGTATGGAAGTCCGATGCAAACTGTTCATGGGAACGCTCAAAAAGGCGACCCTCGATTGGTTCAGCGGTCTTCCTGACCGATCGATCACTGACTTTGATGTTTTTAGTCGGCTTTTCATGGCACAATTTACGGCAAATAAGAGGAAACCACCGATCACGTCGAATTTGTTCAATCTCAAGCAGCAACGTGAGGAGTCGTTGAAGGACTTTTTGCAAAGTTTTAATAAAGTGGCTTCGAGGATGGCATCCTTAGACGAGAAGATGGCGGTCATCGCCTTTCAAAAGGGACTAAGGTCAGGTGATTTCGACGTCGCACTGGAAAGAGCAAATTGTCAAACGATGTCGAAGGTAAGAGCTTTCACCCTGAGCCATATAAAGATGGAGGAAGGACAGATCAATAAAAGAGCAGCAGAAAATCGAGAAGGTTTTTTTATCAAGTGTACTATTTTCCTAGCTCAGTATTTTATCCCTATAAAAGTGTGAAAAGATTTTTTGCTGAGAAGGTTTTTAACGAGGCACCACAAACCAATAATTTCTCATTTTAATAAATATCATCTCCTACTTTTCTTTTATAATTTTTGACATGTTTTATTTTAAAGGCACCAAACTCGTGATTGATCGGTAAAAATTCGACTGGGCGAGTATAAATAACTCGAAGACAAACTCGTGGTTGATTGGTAAAAATACGACTGGGCGAATATAATTAACTCGAAGACCAAACTCGTGATTGATCGGTAAAAATCCGACTGGGCGAGTATAAATAACTCGAAGACAAACTCGTGGTTGATTGGTAAAAATACGACTGGGCGAATATAATTAACTCGAAGACCAAACTCGTGATTGATCGGTAAAAATCCGACTGGGCGAGTATAAATAACTCGAAGACAAACTCGTGGTTGATTGGTAAAAATACGACTGGGCGAATATAATTAACTCGAAGACCAAACTCGTGATTGATCGGTAAAAATCCGACTGGGCGAGTATAAATAACTCGAAGACAAACTCGTGGTTGATTGGTAAAAATACGACTGGGCGAATATAAATAACTCGAAGACCAAACTCGTGATTGATCGGTAAAAATCCGACTGGGCGAGTATAAACCAAGAAGGTCTGCCCGTTCCCATTCAACTTTTGCAATCGGTATTTGAACGAGTCCCGGTATTCGAAATAGAATCTGTAACTTGGTCATTTCCTCACCAAAGTGAGTCAGACTCTGGATGAATTAGAGTCAGTATTTTGGCGACTAAATATGAACTTCGTTACTTATACTCAGTCAGATATTGGACGACTCCCTCATATGATTGATTTTTTTAACTTGGATGATTTTCTTTACATCTTTGAGTCGGATCTTCGAGGATCAAAGGTGAATCTTTAATTAGGTTATTTTGGAGACCTCCACTATTCTTCCTCATTTTTAACGAGATTGGAATTTGAATGATCACATCGTCCAACAATATTTTTAACTTGGAATTATTTCCTCCTCTTTAAGGAGATCGGAATGTCTCATTCACTATTGTGATCGGCATATCGGCAACTTGGTCGACTACCCTTGATATTTTCAAAAACTTCAAAAATTTAAAATTAGAATATTTTCATTGTTGAGATCGGCATTTGGCCGATCACTTTTGATTTAAACATGCCGAATCATTGATATTTTATATACTGAGATCGGAGTTT